GATTGATTCCCTGGGGATCTCATCACAGGGATCTTTCTAGTTCTTTGCAAGCTTGGTTCTAGAACATTCTCCATGTGCACAAAGTTCATTCTGAAAGCAATCTTATCATTCTAAAAAGTTCCTTTTCAGTTCTTGTTATCCACCCACAGAAAAGTACTAAAGCACCAGAGAATTCTGGTCCCCGTGGCTGCTCCAGCAGCGGACGTCAGCCATCCGAGCTGTGTCCCCGCCACAAGTGCAGTGACACGTTTGCCATGACCGGCTGTGACGGCTGTGCCTGGCTGGGATGGTTGTGTCGGCTGGGACGTCTGGGATGGCTGGGACAGCTGGGACGGCTGTGTCGGCTGTTACGGCTGTGTCGGCTGTACCCGCCTGTGCCCGGCTATGACGGCTGTGTCGGCTGAGACGGCTGTGCCCGGCTATGACGGCTGTGTCGGCTGGGACGGCTGTGCCCGGCTGTGATGGCTGTGACAGCTGTGACGGCTGGGACTTACCCGGTGCTGCCACCAAGGCCCACGGGAAAGACCAATGGGAACAGGCCGGGGAGCAGATCAACTCGGCACATATTCTAAGATTGTGTGTCCGTGTGCATGTGCGAGAGAGAGAGAGAGAGAGAGAGAGAGAGAGAGAGAGAGAGAGAGAGAGACTGGGTCTCTTTTATCTCAGGCTGGCTCTGAGCTATGTAGCAAGGATGACTAGGAACTTCTGATCCTCCTGCCTCCACATCCCTGGTGCTGGGATTACGGATGTGCACCGCCACTTCGGCTTTATGCAGAGCTGGAGATCGAACCGTGGCCTTCACGCGTGCTTGGCAAGCACTCTACCGACTGCACCCCAACCCTGGCCGCAGATTCTTCTAAGTTCCTAAGCAGCACCCCACAAAGGGATTGTGCTTTAGGCAGCTACATGGCACCGCCCATATCACCCCCAGAAACACAAGACCCACTGGGAGATGAGAATTAGCTAATGGGCAAAAACAGCCCAGTGCTGTCGGGGTCACTGGATTCCTGGCTGCCGCCATCCCCTGGAGCCCCTGGGAAGCCACATCTCCCTCTGAGCCTCAGCCACCTTATCTTTCAAAGGAGGATCACATCAGCTTCTCAGGGAGGACATGAACTTGAGCGGTGATGACACATTCGGACCAGTAATGTGTTTCAACTTGTTGAGGTGGACCCATGAGATAATTTTATTTTTATAGTAATTGGCACCCAATATTCTCTGTTGAAACCTCCGCTTTCCCTCTGGGCAGAAGTAAAAATAGTAGGAGTTGAGGTGGCAGACGCAGGCATGGAGGGGACAGGCAGCTTCACACAGCCCTTCTGTACTCACCGGGTCCTCCATGATCTCAGGAGGAAAGATTCAATACCTGTCTGGAGTTCGTGAACATGCCCCAAGACAGACTGTGCCCCAAGACAGACCATGCCCCAAGACAGACTGTGCCCCAAGGCACTGTGCCCCAAGACAGACCGTGCCCCAAGACAGACTGTGCCCCATGACACTGTGCCCCAAGACAGACTGTGCCCCAAGACAGACCATTCCCCAAGACACTGTGCCCCAAGACAGACTGCACCCCAAGACAGACTGTGCCTCAAGACAGACTGTGCCCCAAGACAGACTATGCCCCAAGACAGACCGTGCCCCAAGACACTGTACCCAAGACAGACTGCACCCCAAGACAGACTGTGCCCCAAGACAGACTGTGCCCCAAGACAGACTGTGCCCCAAGACACTGTGCCCCAAGACACTGTGCCCCAAGACAGACTGCGCCCCAAGACACACCGTGCCCCAAGACACTGTGCCCCAAGACAGACTGCACCCCAAGACAGACTGCGCCCCAAGACACACCGTGCCCCAAGACACTGTGCCCCAAGACAGACTGCACCCCAAGACAGACTGTGCCCCAAGACACTGTGCCCCAAGACAGACTGTGCCCCAAAACAGACTGTGCCCCAAGACAGACTGTGCCCCAAGACAGACTGCGCCCCAAGACAGACTGCGCCCCAAGACAGACTGTGCCCCAAGATAGACTGTGCCCCAAGACAGATTGCGCCCCAAGACAAGCAACCTTGAAGGAATGAGCTTCTGTCCACCTCCCTCACATTCCACAACCTGCCAGGTTCTCCAAACTCAAATGTCAAGTTTTAAAACTTTGGAAGGGGGGCTGGAGTGATGGCTCAGTCAGCGCTCACTCCAGCAGCACGTATACTAAAATTGGAACAATACAGAGATTAGCACGGCCCCTGGGCAAAGATGATATGCAAATTCGTGAAGTGTTCCGTATTTAAAAGAGAGAGAGAGAGAGAGAGAGAGAGAGAGAGAGAGAGAGAGAGAGAGCTCAGTGTTTAGAGTGATGTGTTCTAGAGGACCTGACTTCGGTTCCCAGCATCCACATTGGCCAACTCCCAACCACCTGTAACTCCAGCTCCAGGGCATCTGATGCCCTCTTCTGGCTTCTGTACACACACACACACACACACACACACACACACACACACAGACACCATTCAAACCCACACATATTGTTTACATTAGCATGTTCAATTTGTAGAAACTCTCCAAATTGTATATTTATTAATATGTGTGTGATGTTTTTCTATCATTGTGTGTGTATAGACACTTTTCTGTGTATGTTCTTTAATTCAAGAAAGAATTTCCAGGACTGGGGATATTGCTTAGTGTCTGCCTCTCACATAAAAGCATGCACCTAGAATCCCAGTCTTCCTATAAGAAAGAGGGAGGCAGAAACAGGACAATCTCCTGGAGCTTGTGAGCCAGCTAGGCCAGCTGATGCAAAGGCATAGAGACTCTGTGTCAAAGAAGGTGACAGACAAGGACTGGCGCTTGAAGGTTGTCCTCTGATCATCCCCATTCACACATACATACATACACACATACATACATACATACTCACTCATCACACATACATACATACATACATACATACATACATACATACATACATACTCACTCATCACACATACATACATACATACATACACACTCACTCATCACACATACATACACTCACACATCACACACCTACACAGGCAGGAGGATTTCAAGTTTGAAGCCATCTTGGGCTGCCTTGGACGTCCAGGCCTGTCTCAGCTATAGGACCAGACCCTGTGTCAAGAGAGAAAATAAAATCATTTGCACCTGATCATCATATTTCACTTTTTTTTTTTTTTATTGAGAAGAACTCGAGTCTCAGATCTGGTTCCGAGTCTGTCTGCATGATGTCCAGGTCCCTCTTCTCCAGTGCAGCTGGACTTCGGGGAGTGGAGGGCAGCATACACTCTCTCCTCACTTATTTGGAGCCACAGGAGAGGGAGGAGGCTGACATTCTGCTTAATGACTTCTCCATGGGGCCTGCAGGGAGGTGGCTGGCCCTGGTGACCTTTGAGCTTAGCCTGGGTAACTCCAGGGACCCTTAACTTCATCGTACTGCTTTGTAAAGGACCTAGCCCAAAGCAGGTATCATGGAACCCAGGGTAGAGATCTCAAACTTTGTTTAGGTCCAGGACTAGATGTCGCTATTTCAGAGGTGCCAAGAGTGTTCAGGTTCTGAGTTCAAAAGAAGACACTTTCATTGGATGACTGAGTTGGGAAAAGTGAAGCTGTAGCCTCTGTCTTCTGAGGTCTCTGGAGCTGCATCCTCTGAAACAGGATTGGATGGAAGCGCCCTGCCAGAGGCCCCGGTGGTGGTGGGAGATACTGAGGCAAGAGGGGGGACATCCTAAGTAGCCTCTCATTGGTCAAATGAGTCGGTGCCTCTAGGAGACTGCCCCCCGTGCCCGGGTCATCTGTCTGCCTTTGAAGCAGGTTAGTGAGCTGGTGACATGCCCTCCCATGTCATGCTATCCATGGGGTGCTCCTGAAGGCCGAGCCCTGGTCTCCTGACGGGGCCCTGGGGGAAGGAATGGAGTCCACTCAGGGACCTGAGCAAGTGCCAGACACAGAGCTCCGGGGAGACTAGGGGGTCGGGGAAGGTTGCTGCAGGGTCGGTGGCCCCTGGGCCTGCACGGCTCATTCTGCAGGGAAGCTAAGCCCCAAGTTGTGGGAACTGCTGCCGACCCACCCCCACCATAGCCAAAAGTCTCTGTCATTATTTTCTAAAGACCAGGTCTCACATAGTCCAGGCTGGCCTCCAGCTCAATATGTAGCCAAGGATGACCCTGAGTTTCTGATCTTGAGCCTACCTCCCGCGGGCTTGGATTACAGGCATGCCCCACCAGGCCTGACTCACGTGGTGCTGGGGGCTGGGCTCAGTGCTTTCCCACATGCTGGCGAGACCTCTGCCAACCACGCCACATCCTCAGGCCCCAAAGCATTCCTGAGAAGGGCAGAGGGAAGCTGGGAGTGAATCAGCCTCAGCTCAGAGCAAGAACAGACAAGTGACGAGCCGAGCTCAGGGACAACACATCCAGACTTCTCAGAAATGCCTGTGGGGAGAGGACATGTTTTTCAGTCCCGTCCAAAGATGGGGATTGGACCACACAGCGTGGCTGGTGAGGAGAGAGGGGACCAGTCTCTGATGTCTGACAGAGACAGAGAGAGAGCTGGAGAACGGTAGATGATCCCACAAAGGGAATAATCACAGGGTTGGAGAGGCACTCAGGACAGATGAGGAAACGGGGGACCCGGAAAAACGTGGACAAGGTGATGGGGGGCAAATGCCTGTCATCTCAGCACTTGGGAATCTAAGGCAGGAGGATTGCCTCAAGTTCAAGGCTACGCTGGGTTTCATGGGAGACCCTGTGTCAGTATATGCTCACCAAGCTAGCAGCATGCAGCGTCAGCAGTGGAGACTACACCAGGTGCTTCAAGCTGTTGCCATGAGAGAGACAGGTATCACACAGCAATCAGAAAGAAATTAAGAAAATTTAAAAAGCCCGGCCTCAAAGGCTGGACGCTCATCCATGGTTCTCGAGCCTCCTTCCAACTTGCTTGCTTCGTTTTCCCAAGATGTCCCGGGTCAGAGAGGGATCTGGGCTGAGGAGGGCAGGGGAAGGGGGATTCCAGAATGATTGGAAACTGGGAATGGAGTTGACCTCATTTCCCTGGGCAGGAACTATCTTGTCCTGGATGACACAGGAGGGTGGTGGGGGAGGAGACCCGCTGTGTTCAGGGATTCATTCAACTGGATTTAGATGATTCATTTCTTATATTCATTCAACAAGCACTCGGCAGACGCCTCCTCTCACCCAGATCCTACCTGAGGCCTTGAGAACTGTGCCCACAGGGTCAGTGCCTTCCAACAAGGCTGAGTCTCACTTCCAAGAGAAGGGCCATGGGAACAACCGAGGTTCCCATGAAGGCTGGAGTTCTGTTTTTAGGCCTCTGTACCCAGATCTCCTGAAATGAAGAAGTCAGAAGTGACGAGGGAGATTCTGACTTAGAAGTGTGTGGGGACAGGGTGACTTGGGTTCTTTCCAAATGAGTGTTCTTAACTTCCAGAGCGAGGGGTAAGATGGAAGGCCTGGAGGGGGGCAGAAACCAAAGACAAACATCACAGACAACTGGTGTGCGGCCTCAGATGATCGAGTGCTTGATCATCACATACACTGTGGTGGTACCCACCTGCAATCCCCAGGACTCAGGTAATGGAGGCAGGACACTCAGAAGTTCAAGGCCATCCTTGGCTACCTGGGACCCTTCCTCAAAAAAAAAAAAAAAAAAAAAAAAAAAAAAAAGTCCCAGGTCACTATCATGTTACCAGCCACAAGTAACCAAAGGGCCAGCCCCACGCTGCAGACGGTGGGAAGGGGTTGTGGTCTCTGCCAACAGGTCTTGTCAAGCCTACAGGTGCTTCCTCTCCCTTTCACGGCAGCCGGTGACACCCCCGTTCCTCCTGTATGTCTCTTTTAGAAGAGGGGCGGCATTCCCAAGAAAGCCCTCAGCAGACTGTGCCTCCCACTCCACACCAGCATTGCCCAACACGTCCAGGCCCTGAAGCCAAGAAGCCCTGGAAGGAATCCACCTCCCTTCTTCAACACGCTGGGCGCGAAGCCGGGAGGGAGCGGTGAGGATGGAGGAACCCATGGCGGGAGGCAGGGGGAGCCTGTTCCAAGCCCAGCTGCCCCCTGAATTCCAGCTTCCCCTTTAGTCTCTAATTCCAGGGCTGCAGGGCTTTAAGACCCAGCTGCAGTTAGGGTCTTTGCAAAACTGCTCAGAATCTCGGGGGAGGGTAGATGTTTTTATTGGTTGTTTGACAAACACACCCTTGTTCCTAAGTCCCCTCTGCCCTTGTCTCCCACAGCGTTGTGACCTTCCCAGGGTGCTGCTCCCATCCCCAGTAGCACATGGAGCAGGCCACCTGGCTCTGGAAGTGGGACCTAGCCCTTTCCATCCAACGTGACTGGAGTGAGAGAATCGCGTGGGTTTCGTTACCGACTAGGGTCCCGACTGACAGAGCCTGAGCAAAGTTCATTGTCTGTTTCTTCTGTTCATGAGTGTTTTGTTGACATGTATGTCTGTGCACTATGTGTGTCTGGTACCCATGGAGCCCAGAAGAGGGCATCAGATCCCTGGAACTGGAGTTACAGACTGCTGTGAACCACCACGGGGGTGTGTGGAATGGAACCCAGGTTCTTGGCAAGAGCAGCCAGTGTTCCTGAGCACTGAGCCAGCCCTCTGGCTGCAGCAGAGCTCACGGTAACGATGAGGATGTGCCCGGAAGCCATGGGGTGAGAGGAACTGGGAACAGTGGCTGCATAGGGGTCCTTTGTCGTCTCTCTTACATAACCAGCTGTGTGTGGTCGCTATGAGACCAAGGCAGGTCCTTCTATCTCGTTCTCTTCCATCTTCCACCTAGCTCTTGTCTGCACAGTTCAAACTCATGCCCAGGATATTACATTTCAAGCAGTAAAATGGAGAGAAGGTAAGGAAAAGATCCCGGAGCCCAGCGGTGGTGGTGCACACTTTTAATGCCAGCACTCGGGAGGCAGAGGCAGGCAGATCTCTGTGAGTTCAAGGCCAGCCTGGTTTACTTAGTGAGTTCCAGGACAGCCAGGGCTACACAAAGAAACTCTGTATCAAAAACAAACAAACAAAAGATCAAGTGTCCCCCACACATGCCCACTCACCTTTAAGGTGAGGATTTAAAAGCAGGTCACATGAAGTCCGCTCATAGCTTTTGTACTGAAGTAGCATATTTAATTTCAAAGGATGCTAGGAATGTAGTCCTTAACTGGATGGGCTAGCGCCTAGCTTCAAACCAATTTGTACGAAAAAAGAGAATTGATATTGGATCCAATTAGGATCTGACCCAACAGCTCAGATGAACCCACGGCTACAAATACAGCTGTTGGCAGCTGTCAGGGTAACAGATGAGACACTCGAGGTAGAAAGGGGCCACACAGTAAAACTGTCCACAGTTTCATCCACAAGGCCACAAGCCACTTGAAGTGCCGTGTTAAGTGTTTCCTGCACAGCCTCCTGCTGGCCTCACATTTTGATGGTAAGCTGCTTCTCCGTGGCAGCAGGCCCGTGTCCCCGAAAGGAGGCTGCTCTAAGCCCCCCTCTCCCTCTCTGCCAGCCCTCACCCTGATTACACAAAAGGTCCTACCCTACTCACTAAGAGCTCACTAAGGCTCAGGGGTTAAGGGCACTGACTGTTCTTCCAGAGGACCCAGGTTCAAATCCCAGCACCCATATGGCAGCTAACAACTGTCTGTAACTGCAGTTCCAGGGATCTGACTCCCTTACACAGACATACATGTGGGCAAAACATAAAATACAAATAAATAAATTATTTAAAAAAAAAAAAAAAAGAGTCTAGCTTCCTGGCCCACCCCAGGCCAGGGCAGCAGGGACAGACAAAGCCCTGGCACAAAGCTTCCCCGAAGTCTGGGTGAGGCAATCTGATAGCTGAAGTCTGGGTCCCTCTACCTTTACCTATCCCAAACAGGAGTCCTCTCTGTGGCCTCTTCCCATGGCAAGGGAACCCAAATTCTAGTCGGTGGGAATCTCAGAGGCCATTTCCCTCTCCAATTGTAGAAGGTGAATCTGGGCATGGTGACACCCACCTGTGATCCAGCACCAAAGAGGCTGAAGGAGGAAGGATCAACAGCAGTTCAAGGTCAGCCTGAGCTCCAGGGGAGACACTGTCTCTCTGAACAGATGACTCAGCATGAGACTTGAGCTTGATCCCCAGAACTGGGGAGGTGAGGGAGGGATCCAGGCTGAGTGGCACGCACCTGTAATTCCAATGCTGGGGATACCGAGTCAGGCAATCCCTGGGCCTTGCTCACCAGCCAGCCCTGACACCTTGGTGAGTTCCAGATCAGTGAGAAGCCCTGACTCCAAAACAAGGTCAACAACATCTGAGGAATGACACCCAACACATGCACACACCTGCACATGCACACACACACAAGAACAAGGGCCCGGCCAGGCCATCCCCTCACCAATGTGCAACCGAAGACACGTCACAAGACCACCCCTGGCCTCAGTTTCCTCCCCCCAGGTCCCTGCAGAGATCCGGGTAGATGCTCACTTAGCACTGAAGCTGGCTGGAGGTTTATACCCAGTGCGCGTATTGGTTCCATTAACAGTCCCTATTACTGGGCCGACAAGATGGCTCAGTGGGTAAAGGCGCTTGCTGCCAAGCTTGATGACCCAAGTTCAATTCCCAGGACCCACATGGCAGGAGAGAACTGACTCCTGCAAGTTGCCCTGTTTTAGGACAGGCCGTCGTTGGTCTCTCCCAGAATGATAGGGCAAGATTATATGTTATCTTCAAAGAAACTGCTCTAACAATAATAAAATGCCACCCCCCCTGCCCCGAGGCTCGTGTGTGGGGATACTTGGTTCCCAGCTGGTGGCATTATTTGGGTGTTGTGGAACCTTTGGGAGGTATGGTCTGGCTGGTGAACATCAGATCTCTTGGAATGAGCACTGTGGGTTATAGCCTGACCCTGTTTCGGGTCCTGTCTCTGCTTCCTGACCTGCCAGGATGTGAGAAGCTGCATGCCCAAGCACCCACTGGCCAGGGGACACTGCCTCTCCCACTATGATGGACTGTATTGTTTTCTTCCCTGGAATTGCGTGAATCGCATGAATCGCGTGCTGACAAAAACAAAAAACAAGTAAACAAACAACAACGACACTCCTCTTGTCCCTTCAATTGCTTCTGCCAGGTCTTTGGTCAGAGACAAAAGAAGAGTCACTAAGATCACACCTTTCAAGAACATGACTATTTAGATCACCCCTAGAAGACCAGCTATTTGAAGAGGGCTGGGGATATAGCTCAGTGATATAGCCCTTGTCCAATATGCACAAGGCTCTGGGTTCAATTCCCCAACACTGAAAAGAAAAAACAAGAAGTAGAAAATGATTTATAATTTCAAGATAATGAAAGTACAACCCACCAAGGCTGGCGGGCGGGGGGCAGGGGGGGCGGGGGAGGGGCTGTGCCGTGGTCCCAGCTGTGCCTACACTCACCAAGCCAGCCCCACTTGCTCTCAGCAGCAGGATGAAGCTCCAGAGATGTAAGTGACAGCACACATTAGGAAGTTAGCTGGTAACCTGCACTTTTGATATTATAAGAACCGAGTTTACGAAGACCTTGCTGCTAACCTGAGAGAGTCGAGCACTCGACGCTCAGGTTCACTTAAAGAATGCCTCCCTGCCTTACGTAAGAGAAAATTGAGGGTCGGAGAGATGAGGAACTGGCTTGCCCAAGAGCATGCTTGCCCAAGGCCTCCCTCCAGGTTCCATGATCCAAACCCAGAACCACCGTCCGCAACAACAGTGCCCTGACCTTGTCAGGGGGCGTGGAGAAGCGCCCTGGCCTTTAGCAACCCTCCCAGACTCCACCTTTGCTGAAAGCGGGAGGCCAAACCTCATTTCCATCTCTGGGTTCCACTTCCCTCCTCGAGCCACGCCCCCATGCCGCTCTGCTGCCTTTCTCAGCATCCACGTGACTCCCCCAGTTCCCCTAAATGCCTCCTCCTCGCGTCTCTTCTTACGAGACGGCCTGCTTGGGATTATATTTGTGTTTATTTATAATGGCTTGGAATCAAGTCTGAAATGTTTTCCGGGGGCAGAGAGGTGGGAGAGTCTCTTTCAGGCTTTGAAGAGCCCAGTGAGGATGTGAGTGGGGCGGAGCTTCGGGTGGGGCCGCCTCCCTTCCTGAAATGGTGCAGAACTCAAAAGAACAGAACTTCAGAACCAGAAGTTCAAGTCCTGTGCAACTGTGGGCTAGTTGCCCAACTCCTCTGGGCTGCACTTCAGATGGGCTTCCTAATAGTATCGACTTTCATAGTGCTAAGTTTTAAGTTTTTTTTTTTTTTTTTGAGACAGGGTCTCATGTAGCTCAGACTGGACTTGAACCCTCTATATGGCCAAGGATGACATTGGTCCTCTGGACCTTCTGCCTCCACCCCCTAGTGCTAGGATTACAGGCTTATGCCACCACGCCTGGTCTTTAAAGTAGTAGATGTCACTCTGACTGGCATTCTCAGGGCCACTTGTGCTATTTTTAGAGCTCATGGGAATTCCTGGGGAGATTGTACAACATCCTGGAGGAGGGCATGGACTCCGAGGTTAGAGGTCCACACTCAAAGCCTGCTTTAGCCTTGATGGCTGCACGACCTCTGTTAAGTCATGGGCCCCTGTGAGCCTGGGTTCTTTTATCTGCCAAGTTCTCCTCTGGACAGAGATTGGCTTAGAGATGACACATGTCCCTCCCTCCATGGGACTTAGGAGACTATCGACTAGGATATGTGCTGGGAGAGAGGGTTGCTGGGCCATCCCAGGCCAACTGACCCAGGACCAAAGCCAGCACAGGGCAAGCACAGACAGGCGCTGAGGATACAGAGTCAGAATGACGTTATCTGAGGCCCCAGATCACACTGTGCCTAAAGCAGCTTTTAGACTTCCCATTTTCATGAACCAAAAACTTCCCATTTTGCAAAAGTCACTTTCGGTTGGGTTTTCTCATAGGAAATTATCTAGGCCAACACCAAAAGGTTAAGAAACTTGGTCCAGGCCGGGCGGTGGTGGCGCATGCCTTTAACTCCAGCACTCCGGAGGCAGAGACAGGTGGATCTCTGTGAGTACGAGACCAGCCTGGGCTACAGAGTGAGTTCCAGGACAGGCACCAAAACTACACAGAGAAACCTTGTCTCTTAAAACAAAACAAAACAAACAAAAACCAAACAAACAAAAAAAGGAACTTGGTCTGGGCACATAGGCTGTGAGAGGTAGACTCCGGGCCTGGAAACTGACGTGACAGCCACACACTCTCTGATCCCGGCCAGCTGTTGGCACTGGGGGGTGCATTGATCATTCCTTTTACTCTCTCTGATCAGCACCTGTCTGCACCCGAGGAAGTCAAACAGTTCCAAGGACTTCAAGGGACTTTGGAGTTTCACTGATGCCCGGGCAGCTTCAGGCTGGAGCCCGTGCCTTCCATTGCCAGCACTCTGACATCCCCCACTGGTAACTCCATCTCAGGGACCAGCCTGCCAAGCAATCCAGGTGCTGGAGTCTGCTAGGGAATCCAGTCCTGAGGTTCAGAGAGGCAGGGCCACACCCTTCCTGCCTGTGGGGTCCCAGCACTGGGTAGTTGTGCTGGACCTTCCAAGGGACTCAGTCTATGAGAGGCAAAGAAGCCCTTGTCATTCTGATTTCTAGAGCCTTCCAAGGACTGGTGGGGGTGTGGGGAGAATGACTTGGAGACATCCAGCTCAAGGAAGATGGTGTTGGGCAACAGGACTCAGCTCCACTTATTCACAAAGTTTACAGTTAGTGGCCAAGGGATGATGACAGACACATCAAGTCATGGCAGGCAGTGAAGGGGTGGGGGTGGGGGGAGCTGTGGCGAGAGGAGTAGGGCCCCTCCAGATAAGGTGGCATTAGAGCTTGAGCATTATTTCAGATCCCGAGCTCTGAACTGCGTTACCGGTAGGCTGATGCCACCTGCTGTCCAGGTCACTTGCTGACCACCTCAATCGGGGGTCAGCAACAGCCCCATGCTTCAAAAACAGCTGTCCTACTCTACCCATGAGAGTCCCGGGATGGTTAAAAAGTTGACTGGTCACTGACTTGTGGTGCTGATGTCTTTCCTTAGTGGGATCTGCGAAGAGAAAGCCAAGACCCTGAGTGAGAACATTGGAGCACTTCACAGACTTGCCTGACCAGAAAGGGCATTAGCCATGGTGACACAGGCCACCTTGTTTACTTTCTAATCAGCCACCATCATCATTAGGTTGGCAGGGCCGGCTTTGTCCACAGGGCTTCGGGGAAAGCTAACATTTAGGGTCATTGAAGTCTCTCTTTCCAGCAAATGTCGGATGCCTAGGATGTGGGAAGGGAGAGGTTCTGCCCTGATGGAACAGGACTGCCAGGAGACAAGCCAGCAAATAGGTACAGCAGAGGAGGACAGGGGCCTGTGGCTGCAGTCAGGAGACCTGACTGGGGAGGTGACACTCAGCTTGAGACCTGAAGGGAGAAAAGATACACAGAGGGGCCTGGTCAGGACTGGATGGCACAAAGGTCCTGTGGTGGAAACCAGCCAGGTGTACCAGGAAGGGACCCAGAACGGAGGGAAGCAGGGAATGGAGAGAGAGGGTAGGGAGGCAGATAGGACAGGTCACCACGGTCACCTGGGCAGAGAGCCAGAGCTAGAGAGATGGATCATTGTTCTTTTTTCATTTTCATTTATATTTGGTTTTCCGAGGCAGGATTTCTCTGTGTAACAGCCCTGGCTGTCCTGGATCTTGCTTTGAAGACCAGGCTGGCCTTGAACTCACAGAGATCCGCCTGCCTCTGCCTCCCAAGTGCTGGGATTAAAGGCATGCACCACCACTGCCCAACTATTCTTTTTTTGTATACACACATTTGTTTAAGTGTGTGTGTGCGCGCGTTCGTGTGCGTGCCTGAAGAGCCATTGGATCCTCCAGAACTGGAATTACAGGCAGTTGTGAGCCACTGTGTGGTGTCTGGGAACTGAATGGGGTTCTTCTGTTAGAGCAATAAGTGCTCCTAGCCACAAAACCATCTCTCCAGCTCTGGACCAGGCCTTTTTTCTAAGCAGAACGAGAAAGCCTCACAGTGTTTTAATCAGGAAGGCATGGCCATCTCTGGTGCTGCTGTGTGGAGTGTGGATGTGAGAGACGCTGGGACTCAGCCTTTTCTCCAGGGTTAGGATTTCTCAGAGGGGTTCATCTTCTGCCACTTCAGTGGGTTAAGTGGGGCCCCTAGGAAGTCACGCCACTAGTGTGACCTTATTTGGGAAGAGTTTTGCATGTCATTGACTTCGGAGCCTCGGGAGGAGATCTGGATCACTGGACCCAGCACATCAGCCTGGAACACAATGACAAGTGTTCTTACAGAAGCAAGCAGGGAGGCTTGTCAGCCGGGAGGGGCCAGAGAGACCATGTGGAAATGAGGCAAGGGTGAGGGTGTACTGGAGGAAAGACAGCCTGCTGGAGATAGAAGCGGAGAAGGGGCCTCCGGCATCAGAAGGAGGTCCACCATGCCAGCCGACTCTGGGGCCTTGTGAACAGTCAAGACTGGGCCTGGTGCCACAGGAGGCTGAGGCAGGAGGATCAAAAGTTCAAGCTCTTCTGAGACACTTTAGTGAAACTGTGTCAAATAGAAAGTATGAAGAGGGGCAGGGTATGGAGCTCAGGGTTAGAGTGACTTCCTAGCATGCGGGGGTCCTTGGCTCCATCCTGAGCACAGCAAAAAAGAAACAGACGAGGGGGGGGGGAGCAAGGATCCGCTCATCTACTTAGCTCTGTATACAGGGGTGAAAGAGCCACCTTTGCTCCATGGAGCTACTCCTCAGATGTGTACCTTAAGGGCAGGAGGAGCCCACCTACTCCGAGTCATTTAAATGGGCGACGACTTCAGTTAGGCAGCCTCCAAGGGCGGAGTCCCAAATTTTTCACCAGAATAATCAACTTTTTCTCTTGAGGGAGCACTCTATTTCTAAGAATATTGTTTATCAGGTGAGCTGTCTTTATCCAGCAAGAATTAATGGGTTGGCTAGATGGCCCCCTGGGCTGGCTAGATGCCTCCCTGGGTGTAGCTGCTTGCCGCCAGGTCTGACAGCTTAAGTTTGATCCCTGGGTCTCACCCAATGGAAGGAGACTATTGACTCTGGCAAGTTGTCCTTGGACCTCAAATTGCATGTGTGCCATGAAAAAAAATTCGTCTACCTACCCATTTGCTACTATTTGAAATAAGCCCATCAGATAAACTCGTCCACCTTTTATGAGGTAGGCACTCTTTTTATTTTATTTTTTTATTTTTACGGTTTCTTTGTGTAACAGCCCTAGCTGTCCTGGAATGCGCTCTGTAGATCAGGCTGGCCTTGAACTCACAGAGATCTACCTGCCTTTGTTTCCCAAGTGTTGGGATTAAATGCACGCACCACCCCATCACCCAGCCATCCTGAAGTAGGCACATCTTATGATCCCCCTTTCACAGTGGAGAAAATCAAGATGCTGAGCTTACCAGGAATCCACCCCAGGCTACATCATAGGACCTTAGAACCCGAGTCATCGTGTGTGTCCATCTGTGTTGTGCTGCCCCACCCCACCTCACCCCACCCCATCCCCTGCAGCCTGGCTCTTAAGCAAGAGATTCTCTGAAGGTCAATCCAGCCTCCCTTCCCATTTGCAAGACTGCTTTGTTTATGGCTTTTTGAGATAGGGTTTTCACTGTGCCTGGAACTCACTACTTACACCAGGCTGGCCTAGAATTTTGGGTGATCCTCCTGCCTCAGCTTCTCAAGTTTTAGGATTACAGCCAAGTTCAGCTGCTAGCCCAGCTTGGCAATGTTTCCTTGGCAAAGAGACTTGTCTCTGCGCGTTGTTTTGTCAGCCCTAAGATGGGAATCCAGATGCCTCAACCAGAGGGTAGTTATGGAGAAAAAATGAAAACGGGGCTTTGCATGCCCGGCACAGTGCCTCCCACAGCATCCCAGGAGCAAGCGGATTCACCAGGAGCTAGTGGTGGGCACAGGGCATTGATCCAATGCAGTTTTCTTTTCTTTCATGTGTTGAGCCCATAGTGCATGGTAACAACTCCAAGCTCCAGTCAAGCTTCCCAGAGGAAGGCGACCTCACAATTCTCTTATACTTCCAGGAGCCCAGGTATCAGAACCAACATTCAGTATTCATCCTGGGCAGTCTGAACACACCAGAGAACTTGCACCTGGATGAGTTCTTATGGGAGAGCTCTTTCTTTCTTTCTTTTTAATGTTTTTAGATTTATTTTATTTGCATGAATTTTTTGTTTTCATGTGTTTCACATGTGCCCGGTGCCCTTGTCGGTCAAAAGAGGGCCTGACACTGGAGTTATAGATGGCTGTGAGGCACGAGAAACTGGACTTACAGGTGGTTGTGAGCCACCATCACCCCCAAGGAAGGTTTTCCTTTTTTGTTGTTTTTTGTTTGTTTTGCGACAGGGTCTCACTGTGTAACTCTGGCTGTCCTGGAACTCATGTAGACAAGGCTGGCCTTGAACTCAGAGACCCCTTGCCTCTACCTCAGAAGTGCTGGGTTTAAAGGCAGGCACCACCATGTCTGACCAGGATTTTCTTGATCCTGTGGAAAGAGAGAAAACTAGCACAGACCCCATCCATTCATTCTGCCTGGGTAGAAATCTCATAAACTCTCTTGTTTCAGGAGAGTAAAGTGGACAGTTGGGTGTTGGCACATGCAGGGAACTTGGGAGACTAAGGCCGGTGGATTGTGAGCTGGAGGCCAGCCTAGGCTACATAGTGAATTCCAGGCCAGCTGGGGCTACAGAGTGACTCAGTCTCAAACAAACAAGAAGCTGGGATGTGGCTCAGCGAGCAGAGTGCGTCCTAGCATGCACGGAGCTCTGATTCCATCCCCTGACAATCACACATGCCTGTGATTCCAGGACCTGGGAGGTGGAGGCAGGAGGATCCATCCTTGACCTGGAAGCAAGTTAGAAGGCCAACCTGGGATAGTGCAACCCTGAGTTAAAAATAAAGAGGGGAGCCTGGAGTTGTGGCACAGGCCTTTAATCCCAGCACTTGGGAGGCAGAGGCAGGTGGATCTCAGTGAGTTCGAGGCTAGCCTAATCTACAGAGCGAGTTTCAAGACAGCCCAAGCTACGCAGAGACACCCTGGGGGGGGGGAAAAAAAACAGAAAGAACGGGACAGGAAATGCCGCTCCCCACGCCCCAACCGCCACGCCTTCGCCACGCCTTCGCCGCGTGACTCAACCCGCAGGCTTGAGCCTCGAACTCGCGATCCCGCCAGCCCTGCCTCGGTCCACGCGCCTTGGGCGCGCCGCCGGGGGTCGCCTGGGCAACGAGCGCGCGCCCACCCTATCGCGGAACCCGGGAAGCGACGAGCCGCGCGCGCAGCAGGTCAGCTCTCCTGGCCCAGGCCTCTTCCCCTAAGCTCCGCCCCGGCCCCGCCCCCACGGAAGTGCCGGCAAGCCTCCTCGCTATCTGATTGGCCCTTACGTACAGAGGGCGGAGCTCGCGGCGAGGCGGGGTGCGTACTTCCGGCTGCCGGCTTGACATGCAGAAGCCGCGGCGGCTCGAGAGGCTGGGGCTGCGGTGGCGGCGGGCGGCGGGCCTCGGGACGCTGAGCGACACGGCCTAGCGCGGCGGAGGGCCGAGGGGACGCGGGCAGCCGGCCCGTCCCGCCATGGAGATGGAGAAGGAGTTCGAACAGATCGACAAGGCCGGGAGCTGGGCGGCCATTTACCAGGTGCGGAGCTGGGGCCCCTAGGCCGCGCAGCCTCCCCGGCCCTCGGGGCTGGAGAGACCCCCTGTCTCGCGGCCCCGCCGTCTAGACCCCGCTCGGGGCTCGCACTCGCCCCCACACACAGCAGCATGCATTTTTCCGCGGTCTGTGTCCTCTCCCGAGCCCCCACCCCCACCTCGACCCTAACCTTGGCCCAGCCACCCTTTGTCCCCACTGGTCCACACCCCCGCTGCTTCCTTGTCTGGACCGGACCACCTCAGGCCCTCTTCCTTTGTCTCCCGGGGAGGGAGGTGAGCTCGCCGACACCCCCAACCCCCCGCACATTTCCTTTGCTCTGGCCTCGGTGGGCGGTCGTGGAGGCCCCAGGATGACAGCCCCCTTACCCCTTCCTGTCCATTCATTTGTTGGACGTGAGCTGGAGAGTCCGTTCAGCGCTAGGCACTGTAGATGGTGTGCGTTGAACGCTACGGTAGACCTACCCTGCCCCAGAGAGGCTTGGAGTAACACAGACACTCAAAGCTGGTGACAAGTGTTGGGAAGAGAAAGACGTGTTAGGGTGGGGGTGACTGTACCCAAAGGGCCTGCCGCCTTGGAGAGGGGGCTCTGGCAAGGCTGTTAGAGAAGGAGGCTTGCTCTTTGAACAGAACAAGGAGCGGCAAGCCATGAGGTTAGGCGACTAACCTGGGGGACACAGAACCCATTCCTCCGGCTGCCAAACCCTTTCCTTCCAGGCAGGGAAATGAGATAGTTTTAACCCTCTCTAAATGGTCTCTTTCCTTGATGAGTGTCTTTTATCCTTTGATCGTGGCTGAGATGGTCCTGTTTTCTGGGATCTGGTCCACTGGAGTGTCTGGTGGTAAACAAATAAAATATTGTGAAAGTAGGGTTTTTTCCCCCTATCTATGAAACAGCGAATTGAAAACACAAAGATGTCTTTACAAGCAACTAAGTCCTCTAAAGAAAATAAGTCTTCCGATTAAATGTCAGTGCGGGGGTTGTGAGGATTAACCAAAACCACACTCGCCCGGCATCTTAAATAAGCATGTGCAAAATAGACCCTGTGCCTTGTGTAAAGGGAGCAGGCAGTGTATTCTGCTTTCAGCTTATAGGTTCAAAAGGCAGCGGGTGAGACCCATCAGCTGGAGAATTGAAATCTATTTTGAGCTTCACTTGGAAAAGGAAAAAGCCTCAGGCTGCCCTTTGGTGTGCTGGACTGACAGAAGGCTTTTTTTGGGTGGCCTTGATTTCCAGATTCCTTGACAGGGTTCTTTTTACCTGGGCTGTGATGTGTGTCAGCTTCTCTTGGACTGATATTTATAGCTAGTGTAATCTGTGGAAGTAGAGCGATCAATATCAACGTTTGTGTTCCAGGTCTAGCCTCTGAATTAGTTGGATGGATTCCACTAAGGAGTCAGATATGTGGGCAGATTTTCTATATCAGATTGAATACAAGGGGAGCCCAGGGTAACATCACATGGACATTGTCATGTCAGTCACTCTGCAGTGTGGAAGTTGTTGGCTAAACAGACCGTCCCAAGTGGAGACAGTTGCATCTTTAATACTGAAATAGACTGATCTGGTAACACATTGGTATCATAAATAAATTTCGGTAGAATGCGGCTTTTACACTTTTAGGTCAGAGTGGCCTGCCCGGGTCTCTCAGCCTTGTTAAGCTGCGTTAAGAATGCTCCTGGCTCGGAGTAGACTGCCTTTGAAATCATTTCCCTCATTGCTCTCCAGTTTCTCTGCCACACTTAAGCCCCCCAACAAGTTAGTAAGAGGTTAGGGTCTCCACAGCTTGCTGAAGTGCTCCGCCCCCCCCCTCCACACACACCATGGGCTTTCCTGGTGTGAATATTTGTATTTTTTAAAATGGGTATGGAGGTGTGTCCCTGTTTTATATTTTAAAAGTAGCTCTTTATCTTACAATTGTACCTATTTTGTTTGTTTGTTTGGTTTTTTCAAGACAGGGTTCTCTGTGTATTAGTTCTGGTTGTCCTAGAACTCACAGAGATTCGCCTGCCAGCCTCTGCCTCCTGAGTGCTGGGATTAAAAGATGTGTGTCACCACACCCTGCTTCAACTGTGCCTTTTTTTAAAAAAAAACAAAATTTGAATCACCCAAAGGCCAACTTATCCAAACCATTATTTTTTGAGTTTAAAGAAATATGTTGAAATAATAGTGAAGAAATTGGTAGAAAATGGAAGGATTTTTGTTTATTTTGTTTTGTTTTAATGAATGTTTGCTAGTGTGTCAAGATGAAGGCAGCACTATCCGAGGTCCTATTTGAGTTTGTCATAATTAGGAAGGAGCATGCAGCCTTGCTTACAGCTGTATAGGCAAGGCAGCAGAATCATTTCTCCTTATTCTAACTGCTTTTCTACCTAGACCAAAAAGATGTACAAACTCTGAAACAGACGGGCAGGGAACAAAAGGTGAAGTGGACTTTTGAGTGCTGAGAAGGTGGCAGTTAGGAAAAAATACCTTCAGGCACCCAGCCTTCTTGGAGGGAGCCTGGGCGCTTCTCATCTTTACTGCTAACAAGTGATTGGCAACGTGGATGGCCACTTAGGCCTGTAGAGTCAGGGTTGTTTGCATATGGAAATAGCCTGAAGAATCCCTTTCTACCATTCAGAATTTGCAAGTGTTCTCATAAGAGATCTTGGCTTGACTGTGGAAAGAGTAACTAGGGACAGTGCCCTCCTTTGGCGACTGGAAGAGGATGCTGGTCAGGTCTTTAATTCTGCCACTTTCAGTGAATGATTTGTTCCAGATAAAGAGCATCTCCCAACCCAGTAGCTCCTTACTTGAAGGCAAGACAGCTCATTTACAAGCAGGCTTTGTATGGTGGGGCACTCTTCCGCCTGATATTTGTTATAACTGCCTTCATACTAAAATACAACCCATTGAGTGACTGGGTTAAAGTCCTGTTATATTGGTAATGCCCTAAAATTCCTTACAGGTTTAGACAGCTGACACTGTGATGCTCCAAGAGGTGCACTTCCAATAATGCTTATTTAGACACCATTGGCTTCAAAAGTGGGGGACGACTATAGTTTGTGTAGAAAAGAAAGACCTATACACTGCAATTCATTTTGATGTGGGGGGAGGGGGTATGTGACATGGGGATTGGGAAGTTCTCATCATTTTGAGTGACCCATGAGATCTAAATGTTCTTGCTTGGCCTGGTTTGCATGAACTAAATTTAGGTTTCTGATGGACACTTTGAGGAGGTGTGAGACCTTTGAAATTGTCTGGCCTGGTAGGAAATTAACAGGGTGTTCCAGCAGAGCCGGGAGGGACTCACCCCTTGTTTGCCGTCCCAGCATATTTACAGTAGCTGGGCTCTCTGGAGTGTAAGCAGAACCCATTCATTGTCTGATCCAGCTGCTGGGGGTCCTGGGAAAACAGGGAAAGCCAATGGTTTTCAGCTACCAGATCCCTCCGCTGGGCTCCTGGCCTGCCTGCTACCTTTGCATTTTATTAGGATCCACAGGACCTGGTATTTATTGAGTAGTGGAATTAAATGCTGGTATACTGAGCTTTCAGACTGAAGTGAACGTGAAGTTCCCTGTGGAGGCTTTTTGGGTAATAATCTATTGAGATAATTGCCTTTTCTCTTTATTTTCTCTTTTGATGGTGCTCAAACAACACTCTAGGCAAGCACTATACCCTTGGGCCACCTCTCTGACCCTTGGGGGTTTTGTTTGTTTGTTTGTTTGATGTTTTATGAGATGCATCTTGCTGTGTGGCCCAAGCCTGGCTCTGTTCTCCTGCTGTGCCTCTCTTATAGACCTGAGCCACCACACTTAACCCCCCACCACAAACATCCTTGTCTCTTTTCCAGTCTCTTCTAGCATCCTTCCTCCTGTGTGTCTTTTGCATGCCTTCCCGTCTTTCCTGCAGTGTTAATGCTCATTTCCAGCAGCAGCTAATATTGGCAGGAAGGCTGGGCATGTTCTAGAAACCTGGAATCCTATCTGAGTCATTGCTTCTGGGATGATGTATGCACCTGCAGCGCCCCGAGTGGGTTTTGAGTAGACTGGAGTGCTTGACTTGAGTAGCTCTGAGAGTCCCTCCCCTACCTTGCATTGCTTGGTCACCCTGTCACCCACCTTGGTAGTCTAAAGTGCCCATAAACTGGCACTTATGTGTCCTTCGTACTGCAGAGATGACAAGCTGGTTGCCTTTATTTTCTTGTGTGTACAGTCTGTGTGTGTGTGTGCACCTGTGTGTGTGTGCGCACACTATAGTGTACATGTAGAGGTCAGAGGACAAGCGTGGGTGCTGGTTTTTGCCCTTCCATCTTGTTTATAATAAGGTGTCTGTTTCATTGCTGTGTATGGCAGGATGTCTAGCTTACGAGCGTCCAAGGATTCGCCATCTCCCATCCTGAAGTGGCACTGGGGTTATAGGCAGGCCTCTGTCCATCTGTACATGGGTTCTGGGGGTCCTAACTCAGGTTCTCACACTTGCACAACAAGCTCTTTACCCACAGAGTCGTCTTCTTAGCCCATGGTTAATCTGGCCTATCAGGTTCTTCACCTCATAGATCTGCAGTTTATTGCTAATGTACCTGTGCCCCCAAACAGGGTCTCTCTGTGTAGCCCTGACTGTCCACTCATTCTGTAGACCAGGCTGCCCTTGAACTAACTCACAGAGATCCTCTTGCCTCTGCCTCCCAAATGCTGGAATTAAAGGCGTGCGCCACCACCTCCTGGCTGACTTTACTTGTTTTAACAATAGCTCCGAAACTGGGTCTGGTGGTGCATGCCTTTAGCCTTTAATCCAGGAGGCAGAGGCAGGTGGATCTCTGTGAGTTTGACACCAGCCTGGTCTACAGAGCGAGATC